CGACTTCCCTGGGTGTGACACCTGTCAAGTACGATAACCACGCTGCGTAAACTGCGGCGTGAGCCCCGGGGCCACTCCGGAGCCCGCGAGTAGGGAAAGCTTTCAATGGCCATCCCAAATCAACGAGCTGTTCGATGCCTGCCATTTCGCGAGAGGTTTCCCCTACCTGGTTCCGGGGGGGATCTCTGTCAGGATTCGACCAAATAGCTTGTTTAACTTCGGGGGGCAGGCTGGGCGATGGCAGTCCACCTGTGGCCGCCAGCCTCCCCCCCTCAAGTGGACATGGGAATAATTCGTCCGAGAACACAAGCCAAGCTGGCCACGGCAGCGCATGGCCACCAGCTGTTCCAAATCTTGCGCGCACACATTACCAAACTAAAACAGCGTCTTCTGTCCCCACCGGGCCCCCATCATGCAACAACCACAGATGACCTCACTGACACCAAGGGTGCTGAACTACGGTCTGGGCATGAGGGGTGAGCCGTATGCTACTGGTTAGGGGATCCCCCCAGGCCCAGGGGCTCGGCGAAAATATTGGGAGACAGGATAATCTGAAGGACTGAGCGACGGCAGGCGTTTCCTTCGCCCACCCTTTTCTGCTCGTGGGCTCGCAAACCTGGGAGGCCGCGCGGTTTCGGACGGTTGCGAAATCATGAGCGCGCGGTCGCGAACGATTTTTCAATAGGACAGCCTTGGCAGGGCTAGGCGCGAGTCTAACACCTCCACAACTCGAATCATGTGCATGATGCGTCTGGCGTCTTTCGGCCCGACCAGGTCGACACTTTCGCAGCGAATATGTATCACCGTGGCGAATGCTGCATTCGACAGCTTTGAAGCCATCTCTTCTGACAGCTCTGGCCGCTCCCCGCAGCGTGAAACGGCGGCGGCGGGCAGGGGCCTGCGCTGATGCCGAGGACGCACGCGCTTCCCGACGCGCGCCGCGCAGGCCCCGAACCTCTGCTGCTGGGTCCTGGAGCGCTGGGTCATCTCACGGGCGAGCTTCTTGATCTGCTGCAGCGTGCGAAAATTATTATTGGGCTTCGCCCTGATGGGCCCCGAGCGGCGAAAGCTGCGCGGCGCCAGGTCCACGCCGATCATCTCGGGCGCCTACTCTACGACCCGCAGCGCGCAGGGGCTGTCGAGCTCCAGCGCTTGACGGCCTTGCGGGCGCAGCCGTCGCCCTCGAGACTCCGCTGCCATGAACTGGCGGCAGTGGGCGTCCCGCCGCGCGCTGTCGTCGCAAGCCCCCGCTAGGTTAGGCCCCGCGCTCCTCGGGCACGATAATCAAACCCCAATGTGCCCACATCCCCGCGAGCGGCAGGGGGAGGTCCACCGGCTGAATTCTCGGGCAACCGGACGAACGAAGATAGACGCCGAAAGCCGCGGGCACCCGCCGGCCGACCGCTAGTTCCTGCGGGAAGATCAATGCAAAGACCAACCTGGACACCACATGGGAGAAAATCAAGCCCGGCGGATGACCAACCGTCTCCTTTCCTTCAGCGCCCGGCGTGCCCGCGGCAGCGTGAAATCCCCGAGCGTTTCGCTCTCTGGTCAGACCGCCATTGAGGCCGCCATCAGATTAACCCCGGTCAGCAGTGAGTCGACGTCTGGGCGCGCCGCTCCGCGGAGTCTGGAGCAATCCATGCCCGACGTCGATAGTCCCCCATGGCCCTCAGGGTCGCGCTTCTGTTTGATATGTTGGCCATCCCGCGCCGCGGGTTCAGGTTGGTGCCCATTCTCCAGCCTCCTCGCCCGAGCGTCGGCCTTCGCCAGCAGCCCGTCATTGCTGTCGACGTCGCGGAAAGCCTCGCTGGCCCCGACCCATTCCGCGCCCGCGCGGTCGTCCAGATCCTCTGCGGGTTCCGCCTGCTTGGATAGGACTCTCGAGCTCAGCGCCACGTGGGGGTCGGCAGCCGCTAGGGCTCTCTCCGCATGTTGCCCGTGGGCGCCACGGCTGCCGGCGGCGGCGCCGATGCCGCTCGCGTCTCGCGGGGTACCTCCCCCCGCCGACGCCCCGCCGAGCTGCGCGCGCCTCTGCCGGGCCCGCGGCGCAAGCCGCAGCCGATCAGGGCGAGCCACAGGATGCTCGAGTCTAGGCGGCTGCGGAAGCGGGGCGAGATTCCTGGATGGCTCGTCGGCCGCGCTCCACTCTGAAAAGGGCTCACTTGATGGCTGGGCGTGACTCTCTGGCTAGACCGACGGCGCGCCACTTTGCGACCTTGGCAAGCGTTGCGAAATTATTGGCACGGCGCCGTTCCAGCGCCAAGACCACCCCGAGATTGTCGCCGGAATTGAACTTGCGAGCCCCGGCGCCTGGCCGAGCGCAACCGTCGCGATGGAGCATGGCCACCGCGGCGCGGGTCTCGAGGGGCGCGCTGCGCTGAGCAGACGGCCACTGACCTCGGATGGGGCCGCGCCAACCGCCCTACAAGACTGGCGGGATCTCGGAAAAGGGGAAACCTCCTCAAAAACATCCCTGGGAGCATGTCGAAGTCGCCCTCGAAACTTTCTGGCCCTGCCTGCTGCGGATCATGGTTCCTAGTAGATGATGGCGATAGGCAATGTCTGGGTCGCCCGCGGGCGCGGCCGTGTCGAGCTGCCACGGGAGGCCCCCGCCGCGTCTCGCAGCTGCCCAGGCCGCACTCGCTAGCGTCGCCAGCATCGACCAACCCGCCCCATTGACAATCCCGAGGCGACCAGCGGCGGCAGCAGGCCCAGAAGACGCCCGAACACTGCCCAGACCGGCGGCCATAGGGGCCAGCCCAGACGGGCGGGCCCTCGCGAACTTGCACGCCACATGGAAGACTGAGATCGTCTGCATCGCCAGCAAGCCGACGCTGGCGCAGTGACCCACAAAGACTTCGACCACGCGCGCCGCCACCTTTCGCCGAGCCAAGAGCCGGCGCGGTCCAGCGCCCAGGCGCCAGGAGCGGGCGCCTGCAAGGCGA